ATCTGAAATACGCACTGCCATCCAGACCAAGAGGGCCCTCAAGGCTTCGAAGTTGGCGGCATGGACAGCATTTAGACGGTTTAGAAGGTTATAGAAGCCTGCCGGAAGTACGTTTGCCTATTCTTCTAATTTATGGACTACAAGAATGACTTTGACATATCTAAACCAATGCTGGCTTGCCAGCGCTAGTCGATCAAAGAGTTGGCTCAGCTTATGTGAGGAATTAGCCGGCTGCTACAAGGACTGTACGACAACGACGCAGCTATACCTTGCCCCTTGACCATCCAACTGGGAAGGCGGTAGAGAATTTGACGCTATTTCACCGAAGCTATTTACCGCGGACTTGCGAAGGACGATAAGATTGTTGGACTGGGATGAGAAGGGCACACGAGTTGATAATGAATTCCTTTCAAAATCTTCGTTTTCTTGTGAACGGCATCGTTCCCTTCTTGAGAAGTACCGCTGACGCAGAGACGATGCTGAACGAACATTACGAAACAGTGTAAAGGATCGAACTGCGAATGAATCGGAACACTCAGCTTACAGAGAACACATTTTGTAAGACATGCTAATAGAGCTGGAAGGCAGTCCCATTATTGAAACGCCTATCTTAGAACTTTAATAAAAATGGAGAAATTCTCGAAAGAAGAACTCAACAAGAGGAGAAGAGCAGCCGGTCGCTTTTATATAAAAAAGCCACTGATCAACTGACGGACCCGGACCTTCCCGTCCATCTGTTTGAGTTAATCATTTTCACAAAGCTCTGTTACGAAGCTGAGGCCTGGGACGATGCTACATCAATAAGACAAGTAAATATAGAAATGTTTCAAGACTAAAATGCTTAGGAAAAGACCTAAAAAACGACGACTTATCAATGCTTTTTAGCGCTGTTTTTGCAAAAAATCAGATACTTATCGAATCTGTGGCTTGCTGACTTTCATAGAATACAAGTTATATTTGCAAATGCTGAAAGCGAAGTTTTGTGGGCCAAAAAATGCGTGAATCCATTTGACAATCAATGATTCTTCGCTCTCCTTCCCATGGTCAATCACAATTTGGAAGCTTATGTTATCCAGATATTTGGCTCGAGACATCTGGTTAACTTACTTTATCATTTTGTGCTACACACATAATTACACTCACAAAACTACTTCATGCTTGAATTTAAGCGGCTGTACAGAATATTCAATTTCTATCTATCAAAAAGTCAGAAATTATGTGACAATAAAATAACAACAAGTTCGCACAACTTAGAAAAAAGTTGCAGCTGGAATGTCTGTCTCTTCCTAATTTCTGTGGACAAACATTTTTAGTCAATTCTGCAACTTTATGTTTTCTTTGTAACGCAAATCATCACAACAAATCATCATTGTTTTAAACCAGTTCAACGTAAGTTGATACTCTCTCACTGTAGAGAGCCAAGGCTGAAGCGACCTAAATTGCTGTCGCGTACCTGCCGACCTTGTTATGTTTATGTTTAGTTGTGCTCATAATTTGATCCTATCGAGGGCATTATACGCCGATATGTATCAGGCAATATTTTCGTTTTTCTAATATTGGGTAGTAAAGAAAGCTCTGCCAATAGAGGTTAAGCTAAATTGATTTATTTATATCTTCATCAAGAGTGGTTGTCAATCAACGAGATTCTGGTCATGTGTACTTGTAATGTTACTCTTCTGATTTTGTCTATCCTGGATGCTCTTTTCCGAAAAAAGCGCTGGCCGCGTATTATTAGGTTGGCACATAAGTTTTACAACTTTTCCCGTAACTTTTCTCTTATTTTATGCAGCAATCTCATTTGTGGCATCATGCAGACCATGATGTAAGCTGCAAGTCTGCGCAAACCGTTTGATTTTTGATAACGTAGTACATAAAATCTAAGCATTTTTTGAAAACTGCTGAAAATCGAGGTTTCACGGCTTTTTTGGCAAACATGAAGCCCTACGAAACCTGAACTAAACATATCAGAAAGCAATTATAGGCAGCATGTAGCTAGAAGTGGACACATTCGAATCAGTAAAGAAGAAATAAAATTTGAACACAAATCAAGGTGGGCTCCTTTGAGAAGTTGAACAAGTCAAATGCGTCAAGTCTTGAAGGCAATTTGCCAATATCTAAGCTGCGATAAGTCAGAATTCGCTATAACTTTGCACTGTAGGGTAACCCTATACGATGAACACGAATATCATATTCATTTGTCGCTAAAATGAAATTCTGGTCTCACGAACGATGCCTTTTCATGCGAAACGGATTTTATTTTTGTGATTAGCATGTCGAATAAGCCCTATAGGTCAAGTTTCAGCTAAATCTGATGCATTCTAAAAATTTCCCATAGTACCTAAACCTACCGTAATCCTTACATAAGATGGTAAAATTCGGCAAAAACGTGTGCATTGGAAGCTTACATCATAATTCTTATATTGCCAAAAAATGAATGCGCTGCGTTCAGAGAGGCAAAAGTTATATAAAAAGTTGCATTACTTATGTGCCAACCTAATATAACAGAGTGAAGAGTTCGATTTTTTGAACCCTGATATCATCAGCTATCTCTTGCTTGAGAAAAGTCCCGGATGCCGGAGCGAATTATAATCGGATGTCGCTTTATCTTACCAATACAAACAGTATGAAAAGGATTTTTAAGTTGAGCTTCTGCAACCTCTGCGTGTCTACTGAAAATTGTGCCTTTTCGCAGACCTAAGCGTGACGGATTTTTCTCCTCTTTTGGGCATTCTTCTTGGTTTTTCGCTATTTTTTCAAGTTGAATAGCGTATATGGTAGCTGAGGCCATCGCACATTAAGAATACATCCCAAACAGACCCCTTGCATTCGCATTTATTTTTGGTGATCATGAGGAGAATTAGCAGAACTTTCTTTACAACCTAATAGACTGTCAATAACTCAGCGCGTTACACTACAAACTTGGCACTTCTTGATATAACATAATACAGAATGGAAATGACCTTGATTGTAAGTGCTTTCAGATACACTCGGGAAATTGAGATTAATCTTTCATTTAAAAAAGGTTACCACTTACCTTATAGCAAGAATCTGTATCTTTGAAGTAATTCCACCCGCTATCGCAGTGCCCAGGGCATACTGAAATGCGATTTCGATGAATATAATCTAATCACCTATAAAGTTTTGTTTGATTAGATGGAAAACCGATTACATGTCAAGTTTAAGGCGTGATACCGGGAAAAGGTGCGCCATCCGCTTTTCGCGAGTGCAAGACGTACCCACTTTTATTCTGAACTTACCTCTGAACATACCAGAAATATTGCGACCAGAGAGCCCTTTACCTGCTGCTTCCTACCTAAAAACGCGCGGGAAAGCGAACAAGTAACATTTGAAAAGAGCTTGCGAATAGATTTATAATGAAAAAAGATCTGAAAACTGTTTTTCAATTCAACTGAAATTTTGAAATCTACTGTTATCCAAATTGCAACCAACTGAAGAAGCAAGAACGAAATATTAGAGATTTTCCAATGATTGCAACGCATTCCTAGGCTAATTTACAAGGGGGCGGAGCGATCAGCGCACCGCGTGCGGTACCCAGCTGGCAGCTGGCACATGCTATCGTTCATAAAGTCATACACCCTTTTGCGACGCACTGTGACGTAGCGTGCTGCTTGCTTGAAACTAACAGGGAGAGGATACTTAGTCGAAAGCACCAATCCAAGGAAGACATACATCATCTGAAAGCGCTTGAGACGCTGATTCCAAAACTATAGTTTCTAGCTGCGGAACGGTTTTGCAGAAAGAGCTATGAGGGAAGTTTCCCTCTGGGGTTGAGGCGCCCTTTAGATGTCGGCTCTTGTATACGAGCATTATAGAAACACAAAATGGTGTAATGTAAGAAATGTGAATGAAGACTAACATAAGGATTGAATGCTCATATTACTTTGGTTTTTCTTAACACTTCTTACTTCGATTAGCATCAATATCATCAGAAATGTCAGGCTTTAGGGCTCCAAAGTCATTTACAAACTCAATTTTGCAAAAATTGCGATAAAGTTGCATGCGAAGGGATTGAAATCTTGACCCTTTCCCTGTCAAGCAAGTCACTTACCAGTAGACCAGTTGCCACCAGCTGGTACGCCTCTACAGTGCTCATAGATAAGGGGAGACCTGCTGGAGGACGCCTCAACCCCAGAGGGGAACACTCCTCATACCTCCTTCTACAAAACCGTTCCGCAGCTAGAAACTATAGATTTGGAATCAGCGTTTCAAGCGCTTTAAGATGATATATGTATCATTTGAATTAGTGCTTTCGTAAAATATCCTTTCCCTGTAAGCAAGGTGCGCCTTGTTTTTGTGGAACTTGATGGATCTTCTTTCAATTTATGAATAATAGTAACCCTATGAAGTGGTACATGTGTAATTTACTCTTTCGAGCATTTTTTTACGCAGAAAAAGTAGCTTGCAGTTTTCAAGTCAAGCTCAGAAACTCATTGCGGACACGGTATCAAGCTTCTTCCTCTTTTTTTTTGATTTCTAACCCAGAGGATCTGGTAGAAGCCGCAAGTGATTTACCTACTACTTCACCTGCTTACTTACGTAGAGCTTACGATAGGCTTTTGAAAAATCAGCGCTTTTTCAGCCTGCCAGATTTTTCAAAGCCTGGCTTTGAGTTTTTGCTAGGTCACGGAAAAATTGAAAGAGTGATTGCCAACCTCTGTTAGAGTTGTTGTGATGCGAGAGAAAAGGAAGCTGCTGAGAGCTCCTGTAAATGCACCATTTCTTAGGTGGAAAAAAAGGTACCACATTATACAAACCTGGAAATTTCTTTAATGTTTGGTTCTACCAGAGCTTCTGTCAATGGAAGCAGCGCAAGAAGCAGCAACTTCATCAGTCACTTCCTGAGCACTTTGTTTCACTAATCAAACATTTGTGTAATAACTGATGCTGTTGATTTCAAAACATATAGACAGGACATATTGAGTAGTCTCGAAAGTAAATTTGCTTTTGTGAACAAGCGTAATATGATTTAGGGAAAATTTTGATAAATAGCTCGTACAGTTCCTTTGAACTTTAGTAGTTATCCTAATATTGCAGCTTAACCAACAAATTCTCAGAAGATTGTCAGAGACTACGACCAATTTTTTCGATAAAGTCAAGGTTTGCATGAAATTTTCATCAAGTATCGCATCTTAGCAGACCTATCTCAGACGCAAGCGCGTCAGACACCTATAAATTCTCAAAATTTAGAACTTTCAGAAGTAGATTGTGATCTAGCATTCCATTTCTACAAAGCAAATGAGCGTTCACCGACTCGAACGAATTTTGGATTTTCCGGGTGCAGCTTAGGACGCCTTTAACATGAAACATGTTCATTATCCTCAAGACTTCGCCAATTCGAGATGAAAAACATATGTTGGGAAAGGAGAAAATGGTGCATCCAATAAGAATCGAGCTGCTCACCGGTCGATGCTTTATAAGATTTAACTTGACCAAGTATGGAACTTGATAGCATCGCAGAAATGACTTCAGACGTTTTGAAACAAGCTATAAAAGGGAGAAGTTTTGTATCCTATAAGGTATGCTTCATTTATCCATTACTTGGATATGTTCAGGCAATCAGAATAAAAATTAGAAAAATGGCAAAATTTGACTGAAGCCTGGGCCATAGTTTTCGCCGATTTCAAGAGAGCTCAGTTGTTGCACTGCAACAAAAGGTTTAAGATAAAATAAGGGATTGATCGAATGCGACCAAAACCTTCTATAGTTCTCTGTTCCGTGTGTGGCGCTTGTTCAACAAAAAAAAAAGAAAATGCTCTTGAGACGACCTAATAGAATACCTTTATGAATTCTAAATTAGCATGGCTGGCGCATTTGATGTACCGTTGCTAGCGGTATTGGTCCGAGATTTTCTTTTGGAGACAAGGAACGAAGAAATTGTTCGGTTCTAGCGTTAGCTACGCACTCCGAAAGTTTTTCGGGTGCTTTCTGAAATCTTTGCAGATCCACAACCGCCCTTAAAAGAACACAATGCCACCTGATTTTTTTCAGAAGTTTCAAATAGTACTTCAATTGTTCACGACTAGAAACTCATCTGCACAAATTAAGAACCTTACAAAAACATTTGTAAGCTTTAGAAGGTACAAAAAAAAATTGAGCGTCTTTTACTGCAAACAATCTCTCCAATAGCATTCCTCCTGCTTATAGCATGCAATTGAAAAGCTCACTTGGCAAAGTTTTTCTTGTCGTCGTAATCTTTTTTCCACAGACCCTAAAGGGCCAACTGCATTGGACCGGTCCCTTGATGCTGCCTACAAAAGGAAATAACGGACCTAAATCCTCTTCACGCTCCGCCCCTTTTTTTGCGCTCCACCCACCCTCGATTGTCCCATGACTGTTCTGACATAACAAGCAACATCTTGATGTACAGTTTGTGATGTGGCACTGCTGTACATGACGAGATTTTCTGCAGACGACGTGACGAGCGCACGGGCACTCGTCCACGTTTGCCGATAGGGCTTCGGAAAAGGATTTCTTGTAGCTTTTTGGTAATTTGGACCCATATCCGAATTTAGCGCCATAGAGAGGCCCGATAGCAATAAAAGAATGCAAGACGAAATCTTGGGTGGCTGCCTTCAAGAATATAATTTGCTTAACTAGTTGTACGATCTTTTTGGGATAAGTCAGTTAAAGTTGACGGTGTTCCTCAATCTTGGGAAGATGATTTTCACCAATCTAATACATGTACATTTTCTTTTTCATTTTTTTTTCATGGCTTTATATTTGTTTTTACTGTTAAGTATCTTTGTTCGAATGTTTGGGACAACTGGCATTATTCTAACAATATTATATGGTATACCTAAAATGTCGATTTCAGTTTCTTGATTTTTAGCTGATAAAAATACAGCAACAGCACATATTGCCTGATGTGGAATTATGCGTGAGCGAGTGAGAGACCAGTAGGACTTTTTTGAACGAAAATATTAAACAATTTTCAATTTTTTGGGCATCTGAAACTTTTTAGATTTTGGTCTGCTTGAGATGGACCGAAGCCGTTGTCAAAGCATAAACGCCATCTTATAGAGCTTGCTTCGCTCTATCGAATATTATCCTGATATCTATTTACAATATGAAATGTGTGATCTATTACAGCGAAAACTCAAAAATGAGAAGAATTATGGGACAGCTTAATATATAAGCATACTCAGGGTGCGCCAAAACTACCTGCGCCAAATTTGCAGCTGTGCCGCGGAAAAAGCACTAAGGAGTGTGGGTTCAAACTTATGCAATAGAATTCTTAATCAAACTCTTCAAAGCACATTTTACAGAACTCAAAAAGCCTTCTTTAAAGATTGTGAGGATTCAAAAGAATCAGACTAGCAGTTTTGAAATTAGCCAAAATGGGATTAAGTCCATGTTTTGCTCCACAATTGAATGAATTCAAAGTCTTCTTGAACCATTCCGGGCTGAGGTTGTAGAGTATATAAAAATATAGCATCATAGTCCAGTTTCTCCTCCGCTGATGATCGAATCGCAGTTCTGAGGAGGCTGGGTTTACTTACCTCATAAAACACATGAAGAACGAACTATAAAGGAGCATTAACTTTTGTCAGACTTCAAAAAGCTAAAGTCAATCAATCTTGCATTTTAGAAAATGGGGACTTTTGCGTCTATTAAGGGCATAAGCATCTTTGGGACAATTGTGGCTGTTTTCCTTTATGACTTTCGGAAAATCTTTGAGTAGTCTTCAAGCAAGTCGAAGATAAGCAAAAACGTTTTTTGGGCAGAAGCTAAAAAACTGTTATGTAGGCATTCAATTCAGATATACAAAGCTTTTCCCAACATTCAGCCTAAAATGTTGGAAAGGTACAGAAATTTATTGCTAGAGCAGCTGATGTTTGTGAAACAATGGTCTGTCCAATTTTATGATCTGTATAGATATAGGCAACTGAACTAGACGTCCTTTTGATTCACGAATGATTTTTTGAGCAAAGAAAATTTTTTTCAGACCCTAAGAGGACTGTCTTCTTAGGACACAAAACACAAAGTGATGAAGCAGATTATCTCTTAAAGACTCAAAAAAAGTAAAGCCAACTGATCATCAATATCAAGAATGCAAAACCTGTCAATAGCCATTTTTTCACCTGAACTGCGAAACACTCTTACTAATATGGTCAAGCGTTTGCTTATAAACAAGATAAAACAAAAGATAAAGCCTTTGCTTAGAAAAAAAGATGAAAGAAAAATTAAGAACGCATTTGTTAGGATTCGATAGTGTGAAAAAGGTGCTATGCTTGAACACGGATAGCTCTCTCTTTTTCCAACGTCTTTTATGTAAAAAAAAGCAAAATCAAAGGTGGACTAGAAATGGCCTCGCAGTAGAAGAATTGTGATATGCTTTTATCAGGTTGGAAAGAAAAGAATATCGCTTTTTCGGATTTTTCAACTAAAATTGATATTTCTCAAGAACTAAGGCATATCCAAGGCCAACTTTTCATAATCAAAGTTTTGATGTTTTGTAGTACACAACTGCATACAAGAGGAAAGTCCAGGGATATTAGGGGCGAAGTTTGTCAGTTTTCTTTTTTTAAATTTGTTCTTGGTTTCTCCATGAAAAAAAATCATACATTCAGAAGCAATTGGGAGGCTCGTAGAATTTTTCGGGACAAAAATCCGATTTTGTCGCCATGAGTTGCTCTCATGTTTTGGCTCTAAACTTTGCGCGAATTATGAATTTCGCAGAATTCAAAGGCCATCTCGTAGAGTTTCCTTTGCTCTATCGGATGATACCACCTGCATATTTTTTCGAATTCTTCTTGTTGCGTTATTATGAAAAACAACATTATTTTCTTTCCAACTTAATACTTTTGGGATTTTCAGGATGCTGACAAACTGAGTGCCAGCTGCCGTTTCGAAATAACTCCCAGAACACCTCAAAACTTATAAAAAACATACATCGTTTTGCTCTTCAATAGACTATTCAGTCGAAAGTTGAGTGCATCAAAACAGATGTATGATTCAAGCGGATAAACGTCAAATAAGAATTCGTGTGAGGTAAAAACTACACATTCATGTTATTACTAATTTGTTTGAATTGCTTACTGAGTTTTCAAGTTTTTCGAACTACTTCTTGTGGCAAATTTTGTGCTCACCATTCAATGTCTAAAGCCGTGTCTCAAATGCTACATCTTGTGCGCAGAGACGTTGTGACAATGAACCATCTAATACATAAAGGATCATAGCGCCAATTCAAAAAACATCAGATAGAGGGAAACAGCGAAGCGGTCCCGAAGCGCGCGGATGCAATTTAGCACCTTTGATTAATGGTTCACTAGTCAATTATAAACAATGGGCATCAATTTTCGGCACTTCACACGTCACAACGATTTCTGGCGTGAGGTTATATGCATTAGGTGTAAAAGTTTTCTCAAATTCTTGAAATTCTGGAGAAGATTTGATAGCCAGCAAGTAGGCAAACCTTTTTTTGAGTAAAGCAATTTTTTGTAGCTTTGTGGCTTGTCTTTCAGAACTTCTACAGTATATTTTTTTAAATAACCAAATTTCATAGCCTATTCTAACCTCGTAGAAGATGAAACAGTCCACAATTTAGGTACTATTTGATGCAGCTTTATTCCTTTTTAAACAGTTGTCTATCTTAGCCGAAAACGCGAAATTTTTTGCAAAATCGAAGCACTTCTTGATTTCAGGGGTGCGCATGGATGTACCCTATGTTTTGAGATCTTCTTAAAGTCAAAATTTCTCATTTATTTACTTTGCAAGGTTATTAATAGTAATGATTTAGTTTTGAAACCTCATCGAAAATTTGTATTCGGTGCAGTAACCGGTTACGGGATTTGTCCAGAAATCAGGACTTTTGGAAAATTATTTAGCAATATACTGAAAGAGTAGCTGGGGATGAAAAATCGCCGTAGTTAAAAAAAGGTTCGCCCTACCTGCTGGCTAATAAAGCTCTCTTATCATAATTTTTTGAAATTTTCAAAAATTAGCGAAAGTTGGACATGGAGGAAACAAGAGCTGTCATTTGCTGCGATTATCTCAGCACTCTTTCAACAATTCACACTGGGGATTGAGCTGGAAAGAAAAAGAAATTCTGCATCGGAAACAGCTTGAATTGGCTGTTTATCTCTGCTGCACGGGGTTTGCGGGCTATTTGCGCATCGAGAATATTTTCTGGTGTTATCAATTCTAATTTTGGTCATCCCAGAACTCATAGAACATCAAGCGACATTGAGACGTCATTCGATGCGACTTTCTTTTCTCTTTTCGACAATGGTTCTTCCCTCCATTTTATGGAGTCTTTGACGATAAAGTTACCAAAATTCGTGATTTTTTAGCCGTTATAGGATATACCAATAGAGTGCGAAATTTGTTATTATGGGGCGGCAGTACAAGTGCTTCGCAAAATTAGCGTATAATCAATCATAATCGCTTGAAAGTTTAAATTTCGAAATTTTCCTAACGTTTGGAGCATTTGTGTTTTACTTCATGAAAGTGGAGACTTTTGGAAAAGAATATTGAGGAGCCCCGAGAGGCCAAAAAATGCATTGAACTGCGGTTTATTTTCGCTATCTGACTGCTATCAAAGATTGCTATCAAAGATCAAATTTGCATTATTTTAGTGATCACAAGTGTCCAAAGAGCATGGCTGCTAGAAAGAGAGAGAGAGGAAATCTGCTTCGAGAGTGTTTGAAATGTTTGCATATTTCTATTTCAGCTTGCATTACATGTTGAAAAAACAAAAAGAACTTTCGAAACGACCTAATATGGTGTCCTAGTGAATTCGGTATTTGTACTACTTAGATACTTAGATGGCCCGTTCTCACGTGACGTGCGGGCCCCAGTACAGAAGTTGCCATTTTTCCCTGTCCCTCGCTTCAGACATCCACGATGTTCTTGGCCGTCGTCGGTGGCTGCGTCTACGAAATCCAGGGGCAAAAATTGTATCCAGCTGATTTCTCAGCTGGTCCATCCGTCCCACGAGCACGTCTGCCCATCTCGTCGGTGGTCTTCCTCGAGGACGTTTGGCTTCACGAGGAATTCACTCAGATGTACTTAGTGTTCATCTGGTCTGTTCTTCTCATTATGTGACCGGCCCATCGGTGTTTGGCTTTCGCAACGTATTCTGCTGGGACAGAAAACGGGACATTCTTCTCAAATCCGTACTGCGAAGTCCGACTAGATGTTGCTTGTGTCGGGTCATCTTCAGAAGACTGCGCTCGAGCGCTCTGTGGGTGATCCGTAAAGCTTTCGACGTGGCTACAGTGTCGGCCCAAGACTCAGCTGCGTAACAGAACGCCCAGAACGTTTGAGTCGAACACGTGGGCACGAAGCTCCGGGTCCATCAGTTGGTCGGTCTTTTCCTTCAGAGGCCCGAAGGCGGCCCAGGTTGCTCTTCTTCTCCTGTTAAGTTCTTCCCTCAAGTCGTTCTCCATGTTCATCGAGTCCGAGATACACGTAAGAAGACGTCTTCATAATAGAGGTGCCTTCCAATTCCCATTCCGCATCTTCGCAAAGGGCGTTCCTCATAAACTGAGTCTTCTTTCGATTTATTCGCAGTCCGATCTTCTTCCCTACTTCGTTTAGTTCCTTCAGCATCGTCTCTGTTTCGGTGATATTGCTCGAGAAGAGAACGATGTCGTCCGCAAAACGAAGGTTGAGGAATCTCTCCCATCAACTCGTATGCCTCTCTCGTCCCAGTCCAGTGACTTCATCACCCACTGCAAGGCCGCGGTGAACAGCTTCGGCGAGATAGTGTCGCCTTGTCGAACCCCCTTCCCAATTGAAATAGTCAGGGGGCGATGGAATAGCTGCATCATTGTTGTACAGTCCTTGTAGCAGTCGGCAAACGTCTTCACGTAAGCTGGGTCCACTCCTTGATCGACTAGCGCAGGCAGGATGGGCGTTGGTTTCGACGCTGTTAAAGGCTTTCTCGTAGTCGACAAAGGTTAGGACGAGAGGCAGTCGGTACTCTCGGCAGACTTCTATGACCCTCGAAACCGTCTGGATGTGGTCCATGCAGCTGAATCCTTTGCGGAGTCCAGCTTGTTCTTGGGGTTGAGCTTCATCCAGTGTCCTAGATATGCAAGCGAAGTTAATCTTCGTGGAAAGCTTGTACAGCACACTCAGCAGGCATATTGGACGGTAGTTTCGAAGATACTCCCGTTCACCCTTCTTGAAGAGAACGACGGTTCTTGACGTTCTCCACTGGTCGGGAATTCTCTCCTTGTGAAGGTAAGATGTCAAATGCGACGCTAGAACCTCGTGTAGGCGGTGTCCTACGGCTCTTTCATCGAAAAGTTGATCTGGTTCTGAAGCCGTGGACATCTTCATGGGAATCGCCGTGCGCATTTCGGCAGGTCAAATTCTTGGTAGTACTTCTCCAGTGGGGACAACGGGCATCGGCACGGGATTGCTGAGCAGAAGAGGTTGGTGTAGAAGTTCTTCGCGATAGATTCCATCTTGTATCGGAACAAAGTCGAGTCCCGTCTTCTTTTTTGACATTAATAAAATAGTATCATTTGCAGCCAGCGTTACGTGATATTCATAGAGGTCTCTTCGGCACTTCTTGAGATTTCGTCTTCCTTCGGCTGCTTCCAGTATCTTGGCTTGCCTGTACTTCCTGAGATCCTCCTGCAAAGCTGTTCTGCAACTGGCGTTGGCTATCAGTCGCTTGAGATGGGTTGCATTCAGATCCTGCCTCAGAAATCTCCTTTTTCATGTATTTTCTTGGTGGTCTTCGAAATGCGTTCCAGGTTTTTCCAGAAGTCACTGAGGCGCACTCTCCGCAGGCTCGCAATCCTTTCAAAAGCCGGTCGTAGTCGTATGTTGGGTCCTCCTCAATGGGCCAGTCACAACTTGATATGAGCTCCTCCAGCCTGTTACCATCATAAAAGACATTCTTCCTTCTTGCGGCACTGAGGCAATCCTTCTTTTTCAGCCTTCGACTGAATCGTACCATTGCTCGAAGGAGGCGGTGATCGGAGCCACTGCAGAAGGATGGAACTACTGAGACATCGAGCAAGCTCCACCTTCGGTTGGTGAGAATGTGGTCGATCTCCGCGTGAGTCGTTCCGTTGAGCGATTTTCACGTCCACCTGCGATGTTCTTTCTTTATGAAGATGGAATTTCCATGGAAAGCTCGTGCGGCGGAGAGAAGCCCAACGAGACGGTTGCCGTTTTCGTTTCGGAGCCCATATCCAAATTTCCCGATTCTATAATCCTTTTCTAGCATCCCGATTTTCATATTGAAGTCGCCCACAACATACTTGTAGAAGGACTTTCGGTATTTGTACTTTACTGTATAGATGTTCCTAGTATAAAATTTATTGCCTTGCGTTTTAGCCAAATGCCGCCAAAATCTCTGAAAGAATCAGTAGTAACGATGTCGATGTTCGCTTTGTTCTTGCATATATCCACCTTACCGAAAAAAGGACTGGCGATTGAATACTATCGATACTACGAGCGTGCAACTGTTTCAAACAAACTCGTAGACAAATGGTGGCAAGTAAATTGGCAACTCAGAGAATTGGCGGGGGTAGGCGGCCATGCTATTTATAGGTAAGCGGGCACCGGAGATATAGTTCGCAGATTTCCTGGTCCGCTTGCAGATACTCGAGGAATGTTGGCCAAGTTTTAGAAAAACGCTCAGAGAACAACCGCGCTTTTTTATAGATTAGTTGCGGCGCAGTGGCCGGATTCTCATGAACTGCGAATTTGTTGAGGATCCCACAGCCCGTAGGTACCATCCGCTGGAAGTAATTAGACCCAGCGATGACACCGCCATATAGAGAGTTACTTTTGCTCGGCGTATGCCCGAATGACCACTTGCAAGAAAGTGCAAGTTCTGTCAGCCTAACCCTGACGATTATCGAAAGTGTACATGGCAACAAGTTGTCTGTGCACGAACGGACAATATGTAACTTGCCATATAACTAATTACCACAACATTAGCGGTTGTTTAACTGCTAAATCCTAATTATCTCCAATCATTTCGAGATCTGCTGTCGAATTGAAAGATGTTTTCAATGTTTTTGTGCGAAAACTTGCCTTCCTTAAGCCAACATTGTGCGCCGTAGTATCATCGCCAGTAACGCCTCGTTTTAAATTTAGAAAGTGAAAGAATTCTTAACTAAAAATAAGTGTTGAACGCTCAAGCGATGCCGTGAAGTCATTCACAAACAGCAAATGTACTTTTATCTCACTTCCAGTGCAAAGCCGTTTTCTTACATACAAACGATCTCAAATTAGAATCGCAGTGCCAATCGTTCCATTTTCGATACCATAAACCAGGAGGATCATTAGTATAAGGATCGGAGAATATCTGAAATAGAACCTGCATCAAATATCTGTATTTCTGTCGCGACTAAGTAAAAGAATGGCGGTTTTTCCAGCAAAAAAAGCAAAATGGTGCTCATAAAATTGGTGAGGTGGACAAACAAGGAAGAGCACACGCGTCAAAACAAGACATCGAAAACTGTGACTCTATTATGAGCTTCCTGGACCCAGGTGCATCTGATTTTTTGCAGTGAAATAATCTCCAGTAAACACTTTTCTGGGCTCCAAATTTGTGCTCACCTTCCCTTGAAAGTTCAAGATTTTTTAAGACGACAAATAGCAAGGGAATGCAAGGTGTGCCTACAAATTTTTGATGTCATTACTAAAAGCAATAGCTTGTTTGAATTTTGGTGGGTTTGCATGATTTTGATTTTGAAAGAGAGGAATTCAATGAATTTTTAATAACTTTGGTGACAGGACCCAGCACGTGTTAGTTTCGAGCACCCGCAGTAGCAGCCGTGGCTGCAGTCACTGCATTCTGAAACTATTCTCAAGGTTATTCTCTTCTTCGATAAGGCAATTTGGTAAGCACTATTGGCGCCGGCACTTGTCAATGTACAAATCATACCAAAACGCAGCGTTGATCCGCTCCTCCATTTGGTTGCTTCGGACCCCACGTTTGAAAGTCAACCATCGAGCCGTCAGTCCACATCCATTTAGCTGCCCAGTTACTGTTCAGATAGTCAGCTCGTACTAGACCTATCCAAGTTGCATATGTATCATCAGGAAGTTTCATGTTAGTCCTTGTCAACTCTAAATCACAAAGCATGGCACTCCACATTCACAAAAAAGTGTTTACCAGCTATAAATGAATTTTCTTTGTAGCTGTGTATTGATGTCAAATGCGTTTCAACAGTAACACATAAGCTCTCGGCACTGCTCCAGGGTTCCGAGAAAAATTCCTGCAAAGTTGTTCCAAACAAATCAACACTGAAATTAAATTTTACAGAAGATTTATCCCACAGATATCGTAAATCAATGTGCAGTTGCATGTCCATTTTATCCTTCCGTAAGTTCTGATTGAAATTTTGTAAGTTAATCAGTAACCAAACCAATATCAAAATCAACATCTTTTTATCTAGCATACGTGTGAATTACAGTGCGTGAAACACGTGTGCCCTTTGATTCAACGGGTTTGGCGGCTGGAAGGCTTTGAGGCCTAATCAGGCTAGGGAATGATCAGGGAGCAAGCTCGGGAGAGAGACACGGACTGCAACGCGGGTACGAGTTGTCGCCTTCCAGTTGCAACCCGTTGCCTCAAAGGGTATCTATAATAAATGATTGGTAAATGATCAAAGGGTCAGTGATGCTTTTCTCAAGTCAACATGAAGTTTTTGAATAAAACTGAAAAGTTTTTTTTATACACAGTTGACTGGAAAGGCAGCGTCCACTCAAATCTGGGCACATAAGCACTGCATCTGGAGACTGATTTCAGGAGCGCTGGCCAAACGGCAGTGATGGCAAAACCCTTAATTGAAGCGAGTCGTACGCTGATTAAGGTACTGAGGAAAGGTGCCTCGACGCTACCTTTGATTGTGCACGTGAAAGAGACAATACCTTTACAACAGGCTATGGTGACGTATGAGTGGAAATAATTCAGCTGCACGGTTTATAACCCATGTAGTCACCACCGACCCCTTCCATCCCCTAGTTCACAAGGAAATGGTTAGAAGTTGAAGTGGCCGATCAACACAAGTTGCATACCATTCGATGCAGCGAACGCTGGTTCCAACCGTCTTCCAGATCTGCTGGACGACTCTGCAGGCAAGTAAGGAGCAGCTTTACTGCGAAAAAAATCTTACATAAAAATTGAGAAGTTAAGCACATTATTGAACTTTTGACTCACCGCCAGGTATGGGACATATGAAGTGACCTAGTTACATGTTTTGAGCCGAGAATGGCTCTGTACGGTCAAGTTTGCCCTTTACACGCACCATTTCTCAACAAAATGATGGAATTTAACGGCTTATAATTTCAGTCACAGAAGTGGTCTGCAGATAAGGGAGAAAGATTTATAGTTGGCGATTTATGCCGCATCTAATGGTACAGCTTGCTTTGATTGGCCACTTCGATTTCTGACCATTCCCTTGTCAGTCAGCGCCCTGTCACTAAAGTATTCTCGTCGATATTGTATTCATATCGTATGTCACAACTTTTCTGTCGCGCACATCCACAGTGGCAGCTCAGCCTCTTTTGAACCATGATATATGATTTTGTAGACAAGTATCTTTGTTACTTTGTTTCAAGATGCTTAACTACGACATAAGCAAACTACGAATGAAATTACGATTAGAGCCAAGCAGGTTTAACGCAGTACGTCATATCAAAGTCAAATTCGTCTGCTTAAAAAAACAATTGTATAAGTGAGGCAACGTGCACATCGCCCATTTCAAATTGTGGCATATTTTATGATGATATTTAAAGAATACGGTTGAACATATATGATGGTAGATGGTAACGCACAAAAAATCATTTTCAAAAATTTTTTTATAGTTATTCCAAATATAGAAATTGGCACGTACCTTATAGCATGCATCTGTCTCGTTGTAGTAAGTCCATCCACTTTCGCAGTACCCAGTTTGTACTTAAAAAATTATCAGTTGACTACCCATAGTTAGTGGGTAGTCACTTGCAAATAATTCATCCTTAGGCATAAGACATAGTGCAATTTCGTCGCTGCGCAAGTCGTGCAAAGCGCAACTGCTACACAGTCATTGTATGCCCAAGTGTTTGCATCGGCGGTTGTGATAGTCGCATGGCGCTACAAATCGCGGATTGGTTTATTAGGGCATAGTCGTAAAAACAGCAATTTTGATAAAACTCGGTAATGACATGTCGCTTGGGCGGCAAGTGAGCGATACCGCTGAGATTTGAAGGAGATATTAAAAGCTTTTTTTAGGCGTGCATGATTTCTGGATAATCGGACTAGAGAGCTTTTTGGTTTTTGCAAAAAAATGTCTTTGCTTGCATTCTACCTTACAGACTCCCATTCGACTTGTAACAGTCAATTTTACGAACTTTGATAATATTGTGTAACTACAGTCGAGTAGATTTTCCGCCTAATATGGTGTGCTTGCACAGAAGGTGAAATGCGGTAAAATTTGCGCATCAACAAATAACTTCGACGGTTACGCTGGCCATTTGCGCGCGCAAAATGTTGGCATTACTGGCTACTTGTTCACGCGCAAATTTTATCGCATTTCACCTTCAGTGCAAGCACACTATATTAAGCGGAAAATCTACTTGACTGTATTTTAGTAAAAGTCGCAGGTGATTTACGTACAGTTACGTACAGCTTATAATAGGCGCTCGACGCTGTAATGTTGAAGAACCTGACAGCATTTTATAAGCTTTCCAGCCTGCCAGATTTTTTAAATACTGTTTTTGAGTTTCTGCTAGGTTGCAAGAAAAAATGAAAAATTGATTGCCAACCTGCCTTAGAGATGTTGTGATAGAGCTGAGGACTCCTGAAAATGCACCATTATTAGGTTTAAAGAAAAGCATCACAAAATATTGACTTGGAAATTTGTTTACTGATGTTTGGCTCAGCTTCTGCCAAAGCAAGCAGCGCAAGAAGCAGCAACTTCATCGATCACTCCCTGAAAACATTATTTCATTGTCCTACAATTATGCTATCAAATTATTAAACTATTAAAATTAAAACTATCAAGACTATTAAAATTACGCGATTGAATCTAGAACAAGTAGACGAGGATGTACTAGCTTGCATAAAGGTATTACTTCAAAAGATCCGGTATTATACATAGTCAGGGTTCGGCACAGCTGGCACCGGGTCAAGCTGGATATCGTTTTTAGGGCGGAAAGCAAAGGGGATATCGTTTTTACAGGGTGAAGTGCCGCAAAATGCCGCCGGCATGCCACCGGCAAGCTGTCCATCAACAAACAAAGGCGTTGTTTTCAGCCAAAACACAACAGTATGACACCAAATTTGGTGTGTGCATGCTCCTTGGTGGACCCGAACTATGGCTTCAAAATTTATGAAAACTTATGTGAATGAAAGCTGTGCCGAACTTTTTTCTGAATTAGCTGGCACCGTGCCAGCTGGGTGCCAGCTGAGCTGGCGCCGACACCTTGCTCACATAAGTTCTCATACTTTTTTCATTAAATGTATCTACTCTGTAAAAGATTACATACAGAGAAAAAACAGTTTCATAATGTTTTCTTTTTAGCGTTTTACAGCAATCTGAAAATTACTCGGTCTGCTCCGCAGTCGGAAAATCGGCTTTTTCCTCTTCTCTAGATGTGATTCGACCACCTAAAAAGCTCAGAAAGCTGTGAAAAGTTGTTTTATGAAATCAGCATGCATGAAAACTTTACCACATACTTTTACATAATATAAAAATAATGACGGTTGCCAAAACAAGTCAAACGGGACTTCGTGCGAAATTTTCAAGATCAAACGGGACTTCGTTTTGAGATTTCTTTGATACCAGCTCGTGCCGAGCCCTGTACATAGTCTATTTGGTACACAGAAATTTTGTATGCATGTATCCAACCCTGGTATCATATGATAGACTAATGTGAGCAAGGCATTTTTTATTTTTGCATTACTTCTGGAAGTTGGCCTAAGCTTTCCTATACGTTATAGCATGACAGTTATGTGATGGGTGATAAAATCGGTGATATCAAGCTAATTTGCTTATAAGGTTACAATGGGTTGAAAAGGTCATGGTTTGCGAGAACCTCGAGACCTAAATTTTGGTGAAACAAGGCTTCTAAAGAGGAGAAGGAAGACAAATTGAGTTTATCACAATCGTTCGCTTTATCTAAATCTGAATCAGAGCTTTTTTGCACGAATGGCTTCAAGAGCACTTCTGACAGCTCTCAGTCAAATGTCAAAGCCCCAGGGATTTCACTAACATGTACTGTACCCATAAAAGGATATGAAATTGCAAACTGCAATAGACAGATGAGCTTAAAATCCAGAAAGTCCTTGCTACAGTTTCATTGTGCTGACTTTGCTATGAAAAATTGAACATCATCGTCTAGTTTCCTCCGCTGATAATCAAATCGCAGTTCTGAGGAGGCTGAGTTTACTTACCTCATAAAACACACGAAGAACGAACTGATAAAGGAGCATTAACTTTTGTCAGATTACAAGAAGCCAAAATCAACTAATCTTGCCATTTCAAAAAATGGGGATTTTTGCGTGAAGTGTATAAGCATCTCTGGAACAATCATGGCTGTTTTCCTTCATAACTTATCTAAAAAATTTTGAGTACAAGGACTCGCTCCGTGCGGGCGTCCAGTGACGACCTTACAAACGCCCGTTGGTGTGTGCTATTGTGCGGTCGTCAAGGGCCGATCGTACGGGTAAGATTGGTGCACGTACGGTAGTATCGCTCGCCCCTTGCGAGGGGAAGGTGGGCCGCTCGCTCGCTGTTAGGGTAACGAGTTACCTTTATCACTTCTTTTGAATATGTTAGTCTTTACATTTACCGAAAACGTGGATCGTGCAGCATTGGCTCAACAATTTATGTTGAGATTCTTCACTTACACTCTCGACAATACGTAAACTCATAAGCCTTCCTCGAGCTCCTATTTAACGAAGGTCGCTGCTGATGTATACAAATCATGACCAAGCGCAGCCTAAACGCTGCGTATCGCACACAGGTACCGTTTAGGCTCACAGCGTGTGACAATTACGAGAAAATAAAGGTCACTGTCTGCAGCTTGCACGACCACGGGTTTTGTCGTCCGATCAGACGGGCACATTGCTGGCCACTCGCTTGAGAAATGTACCGCCGTCTAATCGCATGGTAACATTGCCTGCCGCTTAGACGGAATTTTCATTGTTCGCCGCACGCACGGAAGTTTTAGGTTTATGTCGACCTTTTGTGCGCTGGTGCCTGTAGGAGAACCGCTCGCACGGCGCAAATCCCTGAGTAGTTTCCAAGCAAGTCGAAGATAAGCAAAAAGGTTTTTTTGTGTACAAGCTGAAAAAACTGTTTATCTAGGCATTCAAATCCAATTATACAAAGATTTTCCAACAGTCAGCTTAAATTGTTGGAAGGGTACAAAAGTTTATTGTCAGATCGACAGCGGCTGTTTGCGAAACTATGGTTGGCCCAATCTTACGATCTGTATCGATGTAGGCAACTGAACTAGCCGTCTCTCAGGTTCACGGATGATTTCTTAACCAACTAAAAATTTTTTTAGACCCTAAGAGGATTATCTTTCAAAATACAAAACACAAAGTGATGAAGCAGCGATTATCTCAATAACTACAAAAAAAGTAAAGCCGACTGGTGTCTATATCAGGAATGCAGAACCTGTCAACAGCCAATTTTTTACATAAATGCGAAGTACCCTCACTGTGGTTAAGCATTGCTCAAAAACAAAAGATGAAAGAAAGAATAAAACCTTTAAAAAAGGAAAATCAAGAACACAGTTGTTAGGATTCGTTAGTGTGAAAAAGGTGCTTTGCTTGATAACGAATAAGTCTCTGTTTTTCCAACGTCTGTCGAGTAAAAAACCAAAATCAAAGGTGGGCTCGACTTGTACTCCCAGTAAAAGAAAAACTGTCATATACTTTTACTTTTAGGGTATTCAGAATGCTGACAAACTGTCTGCCAGCTGTCATTTCGAAATGGCTCCCGAAACACCTCAGAACTTATGAATAAACATACATCGTATTGCTCTTTAGGCCTTTAGGTTCTCTATTCTGGTCTTAAGGATTTAATCGAAAGCTTTACGTGTACTAAAACAGGAGTACGATTTAAGCGCATAAATATTAAGTAAAAATTTCTGTGAAGTAATAACTGCACATTTATAACTTTACTAATTTGCCTGATGCTTAGAGAGGTTTTTCAGTTTGGGAGTCCTTCTTGTAGCGGATTCTGTGCTCATCAACCATTCAAAGGCTGAAACTGCCTTTCAAATGCTACATCTTTATGTGTGCAGAGATGTTGTGACAATGAGTCATCTAATACAGGGTGTCCAAAAGAAATGTACTCATTGTTTGATTGTGAATAACTCTCTTGTAATGAAGTGTTTCGAGAAGCTTTAAGTACCATTTTGTAGAGCAAGGTTGAACTTGGATTTATAGTATACAGCGAATCACAGACTGCTCTTCATTACTGTAGGATTACGGTAGAAATTTCAACCATATGGTGTCACTGTGTAAAAAGCTGCGGTTTCAAAAACTTTCAAATAAATTTGAAAAGTTGTGTAATAGGGTTTTATAGATGCTGAGTTGAATACTCAACTATTCACAAGATTGCGAAGCTCTTCAAACGGTATAATCGCAATTTTCGGGAGCACTGGAAAAACGGCCGGTACTGCTTACCCCCTAACTTTTTATTGAAGCATTATGGTAAGCGACGAATTTCACATTTAGAATCAGCAACTCTAATTAGCCCAGTGTGAAACTTTTCAGATTGTTTTGTTTGATTTCTGAGGCAAAGTATGGCCTTTCATGGCTCAAAACACTCTTCAGGTTTCCTATCGTAATCCCACATCCTCGGTGATTCGCTCTACATTGTAAATCTAAGTTGAACCTCGCTCTACAAAATGGTACCTAAAGCTTCCCGAAACAAACAGTATTTATTTATTTATTTATTTATTTATTCATACGCTCTATGGCGTTCCTTACAAAAAGAACAAGAGAGAAGAAAAAAAAAAGTACACACACACAGTAAATCGAACAACCCCAGTCAAGGACCACCGTGCCGTTGGGCCCATACCATTAAGTTAGTTAAGAAGTATGTTTGATAGAGCTTGCATGTGACTGCTCTGGACTACAATTGTCATAAAGATGTGATCATGGAGATGGTACCCATGCCCCCATTACTGCCAGCGAAACGTCCCTGAGATAAACTATCTAACTCAGGATTGCATGGTGGATATACTCCCACCGCATGAGGCTAATAGGAAGAGCCAGTTACTCGAGAATACTTGATTAATAAGAAGTGTTGTAATGGAACATTGTAATCGAGAAGGCCAATAGGTTGCTGCAAGTTGTGGAGGTGGTGATCCTTCATACTCGTACGCTAGCAAAGTGCTCTCGAAATACCAAGGTAAGCAAAGCGGGCTTGGTCAGTAGAGTAGCAGAGAAACCTTGCCCAAAAGAATTCCGGGGAGAGACCAATGCTCCGAGGGAAAATCAACAAAATTCCGCGTTAGTAACTCAACTAGAGCAAGTCGGCAAGCTTTAAAGGTTGGGGAAAGGAAGATTGTTGTTCAGGCCTGAACTAACATGGTGGCTTGATATGGGTTATAAGACCTTGGCCATACCCTGCCGGTGCTGTCGACACCGCCAGTGCCACCCGCGTCACCGGCGCCGCCGACGCCACCAGTGCCACCCGCGCCACCCATGCCCCCAGCGCCACCGCCTTTGAGCGGTAACACTGGGAACATGAGCAACACGAGCAACACCAGCAACATCGGCAACACCGGCAACACGAGCAACACCGGCAACATCGGCAACACCAGCAACATGAGCAACACCGCCGGCAACATCGGCAACATGAGCAACACCGGCAACATGGCAACACCGGCAACATAGCAACACCGGCAACAAGAGAACACAGGCAACATGGGCAACACAGGCAAAGTATGGCCAAAGCCTAAGAAATGCAGAAAGAAATAGTATATGTAGAAAGACGAATCTCAGTGGCCGTGTTCGCTCGAATATGGCAAAACAGATGTCGGACTACCATCGCACGTATGAGAATGTTGATGTTGATGCTGAGACAGTTGATGCCGCATAAGGAAATAGAGATTCAGTTGCAGTCCAGACGGTAGATGGAGCATAAAATATCAGCCATAATTCATACAGCACAAAATAGTCACCAGACAAGAAAGCGCTCATGAGCCAGATCTGAAAAAGAAACATTAGAACGAACTCAAAACAGAGAAAAAGACAAAGGTTATAAAAAAAGGCTATATATTAAAAAAAACCACATCGCAGACTTCTTAGTTCAGACAGGCTATGGCTATGGCTTCTACCTGAATCAAATACTTACAAAAGACGAAAACATCAGCACAAGTACGAATCACTCTCAACAGATTTGGGAATTTCTGACTTTTCTAGAGCTTTCTTGAAAGCCCGACTAGTATTAGCCGACTGCAACTTAGCGGGCAGTCGTCTAAACCAGCGAGCACATCGATAGAATAAAAAATTGAAAAGGCCAGAATAGCAGTGTTTATCCAGTCTAGGGTAGTGAAGATTGAAGCCTCCTACCCTGGAACTTACAGGTCTGAAGACCCAAAAGCTACTGGCAGGAAGGTCAATCTCTTTCCGCAGTATCGCAAAACAAAAAACTAAGTCAGCAATAATTCTTCTACGTTTCAGTGATTGCAAACCAAAGAGTCTCAAGCGCTCATTGTAATCTGGTTTGGACCTATCTTGCATATTATGAGACATGCGAAAAAAGACCATCCGTGTAAAAACATGTTGAACTCTTTCAATCTTAACGATATCTTTCTTTGTGGAGGGGTTCCATACTTGAGAACAATATTCAAGATGTGGTAGCACATAAGCCTTATATAGTCTGGTCAAAACAACTGGATTAGAGGAGTGAATAACACGAAAGATTGAAAAAAGAATAGAATATGCTTTTTTGACAGCAGAATCAATATGTTTGGAAAAATTTAATTGAGGATCAACAAAGACACCTAAGTCTTTGACCAGTGGGCAAGCTACCAAATCTATTCCATTGATTTCATATTTGTCTGGATTAATTTTTCCCAGATGTAAAAATGAGCATTTGTTCGGATTGACAGAAAGGCCGTTAAAAGAAGCCCACGTATTTAGTTTATTTAGGGCTTGTTGCATCGATGTATGCACCTCAAGGAAATCATATTCATTGTAAGATGCATACAGTTTGATATCGTCCGCATAGATCTGGACATCAACTCCGTTCAAGTCAATTAGAGCGGGTAGTTCAAAGGTGAAAATCAGAAAGAGAAGCGGAGAAAGCACACTTCCTTGAGGAACTCCACTAGTGCAACGGTACTCATTGGAAAACGACTGTCCAACTTTGATGGTCATATATCGGTCTTGAAGGTAAGAGCGAAACCAGTTCAGAAGATTGCCAGAAATGCCAAACTTCTGGAGCTTCATTATCAAGACATTATGAGGAATCTTGTCAAAGGCCTTTGAAAGATCAACATATATTATATCAACTGATTTTCCAGTGTTAAGAGCTTTTCTCCAGTCAAAAACGCTTTTAACAAGATTAGTAGTAGTAGATCTTTTAGAAACGAAGCCATGTAATTGAGGTGGAATTCCATAACATTTCTTGATCCAAGAAAGCAGCTTTTTCCTTATAATTTTTTCCATCACTTTGACTGGAGTTGAAGTTAGACTTATAGGACGAAAATCAGACACTTTAACGGCAGTACTAATTTTTGGGATAGGCACAACCACTGATTTTTTCCATATAATTGGCACTTCCCCGAAATACATGGAGAGAGTGAACAAGTCCGAAAGGGGTTTGGAAAGTACATCCGCACATTTTTTATAGACTATAGGCGGTATACCATCGTAGGGTTCAGTACAAGAAGGATGCAAAAGTTTCAAAGCAATGCGAACATCAGATTCATGGAAGTAGACATTATCACAAGTCTGCTGAGGAGAGGTGTAATTCAGCGGACAGCATACATCATAACCATGTGCGAAAACACTAGCAAAATACTTCCCCAAAGCCTCTGCTCTATCAACATCATTGACACATTCTTTACCAAACTCATCAACAACATTGGAAAAGCCTTTGGTCTGCAGTTTGCTTCGTATGTATCCGAAAAATCTCCTAGAATTTGCATAAGAAGACAACCGTCTTTCATAATTGGCCAAAAATTTTTTAAGATGAAAATCAAGATCAAGACAGACTTTTTTGTATAAGGCATTAGTCAAAAATGCTTTGAAGCATTAAACAAATTTTGCTTTTGATCTAGAAAAGCACAGATGTGCTTGGGGTAATGAAAATTTGATGGACTGTTGATGGTTTGCATACATCCAAATTTGCCAAGTCCTTCGTAAACTTTGGTACAGAACCTATAATAGGCGTCGTCAAGGGAGGTATGATTTACAAACAAAGAAGTCCAATCAAAAGTATAGAAATAATCGTTTAATCCAGAATAATCAAATTTGGGAAAGTCAGGGATAGGATATATCGTCTTAGCGGTGTAGCCAGCTTTTACATGAAATTCAATGATGTTGTGATCAGAAGAAGCAAGAGGGGGGAGTATTTTGACTTTGTTTACATTGTTTTTAGCAGAGAAAATCAAATCCAGAATATTGCTACCATGAGTAGGTTCGAGCACATACTGCTTGAACCCACAATCCAGAAAAAACTCCATCAAATTTTTTGAATTTTGGTCTATCGAGATGAAATCAATCCAGTTGACATGAAGGTTGAAATCTCCCAAAATAATCATATCTGCAGTTTGCGAGGAGGTGAGATTAAGTAAAACATTCTTGAGCTCATCATCTTCATATCTTTTACAACAAGGTGGACGATATATTCCGATGAACCTCACATAACTAGCATCCGAGGGGCACAGCAGGTCGATAGAAAGCAAATCAATGTCAGATACAGTGTGGTGATGCACTTTACCGATCGATATATTACCCTTAACAATACAGCAAACACCTCCTCCTGTACGCTTTGGCCTATCACTACGGTGAATCAGATAAGGTAAATTAGAGATTAATTCAGAATCACTAACCTTTGAAGAAAGCCAGGTTTTAGTTATGAATACCACATCAGGTTTGTAGCAAAGAAACGAGTGAAGGTGATCAATCTTGTTAACTAAACTGCGGGAGTTAAATAGATAACATGTTAAGTAATCTATAGTACCATGCTCATTTATTGGTTTACCGAAGACTTGCGGGGAAGTTCAGATATGTGAGTAAGACGCCCTTTATAGACGACCCACTCACGTCCTGCACAACCCCTGTTCCGCTCTCTCGCCTCTTGGCGCAGCTCATATTCCTTTCTCCGCTCCTCCTCGGTCATACTTCTACGTATGTAGATATTTGAGAAGCAAGAAGAGCGGAGAAGGTGGGCATTAGAGAGCGCCAGTCTCCAATAAAATCGACTGGGGAGGACAACCTTTACCAAACGGGGACGGTTCTGATTTGGCTTACCCACACGATACGCCTCGGTTGCGCAACAATCAATGTTAAGGACATCAAAAATACCGTCCAGCTTTTTGTTTAAGTCAAGAGCACGCTCACTGGCGCGCAAATTCGGCGGAGGTTCAGCTACACCACTTATAACAATGGTTCGCGAGCGTTTATCATTTTCAACAGCACTCTGCACCTCTTGCTGAATTTTATCAGACAATACGCACAGCATCTGATCAATGACGGGATCCGAGTTCCTCTCCTTCATGGAGAGGATCAGTTCCTTGACGCTCATATGGGAGTAGTCATTGTCAACTGTGGTGTAGCCTGAATTCTGTGTCAGATCAACTGGATGACCCACAGCGGGCTTTTGGGACACCCTGTACATAAAGAATTGTAGCCCCAATTCAGAAAACATCAGATAGCGGGAAACAGCGGTGCGGTCCCATCTGCGGTCGCGGATGCATTTTAGCACCTTCGATCAATGGTTTGCTAATCATTTATAAACAATGGGCAGCAATTTTCAGCACTTTACACGTCACGGCGATTTCTGGCGTGAGGTTGTATGCATTAGGTCGAAAGTTTTGTCAAATACTCAAAACACCCGCAAATCCTGTACAGTAAAGATAAGCAAACATTTCAAGCTGTATTCAATGCAGAAATTCTTCCTCGTTACAGCTGCCATATTTACAGTTTAATATATTGAGGGAGTGCTCAGATAATCGCTGAAGATTACAACCCTTTGCTTCAATCAAATCCAATTCTTGCTAATTTTTGAAAGATTCATTCGAGAGATCTGGGAGAGATTTGATATCCGGCAAGTAGATAGCCTTCCTCCAAGTGAAGCAATTTTTTTGTAGCTTTGTGGTTTGTGTTTTAGTCTTTTTAGAGATTTTTTTGAAGTAACCAATAATATTCCGCCTATTGTAATCTTCAGTAGAAGATGAAACGGTTTACAATTTAAGCACTATTTGATGCAGCTTTATTTCTTTTTTCTAAGAATTGTCTTTCCGTTGCCAGAAGAAATCTGCTGCAAAATCGCAGTATTTCTCAATTTCGGAAATGCGCACTGACGTACCCTAAGTTTTGAAATTTTTATATCTTCAAGCTATTCGCTCATTACTTCGCAAGATTAATAATAGTAATGATTCAGTTTTGAAACTCCACTTATCTAGAAATTTTAAATTCGGTGCAGGTTACTGGATTTTTCCAGAACTCAGGGCTTCTGGAAAGTTATTTAGCAATATTCTAGGGAAGTAGCTGAAAAGGAAGAAAAGTCGAGGTAGTCGGCAAAAGGTTTGCTCTACCTGATGGGAAATATAGCTTCCCCAAAAGTCTCATACAAAAATTTTGAAAGTTAACGAAATTTGCACATGTTGAAAAAGAGATGTCATTTCCAGCGATTATCTCAGCACTCTTTCAACAAGTTGGGAGTACAGCGCTTGAAAAAGGAAGAAGTTCTACCTCAATAAACAGTTTGAAGTTGGTGCGTTATTTCAAAAAACTAGAAATAACTTTTGCACCGACCTGATATTTACAGTGCACGTACTTCCGAAATCTAACAATCTACTGCAGAGAGGATCGTTCTTACAAGTGAAGTAACTCCTCCAAAATTTGCTGCCAGTGGTGTCCAACATCTCCGAAATGGCCATTTCGACCTTGTCTTTATTGGCGTATGTTGGTGTACAAGGCAATGCATGGGCAAGAAGAGTTTACATGGCTACTAATAGACGTTGAAGATAGGAAGCGGCACATGTTTCTGTGTTGCTTGACATAACACAGCGCAAGCACCATTTTTCTAGAAATCTAATACAGACGTCTATACCGAATACAGAGTAAATTGAATGCAGCAAAGCCCAATCACATAAATTTTCTATGTCTTTCTTCGGTTAGGCCATCTAATTAGAACTTGGTTAAATAATGTAGTGCCACAGCTTTGCAACAGCATGCTGTCCGGTCAGACTTTCTGTGGGCTAAGTCACGGAATGCGCCACAAAATTTCCGAGTAATTTCCAAATCTTGACCATCACCGCATTTCTTGAACCGGAAGAGCAAGGTAGCACAGTTCTTTCGATACATATCAACAATTATCATCAGAAAGGAGCACTGTTTTAATAGGGTGAGAGACCTACTGAGACATCAGTTATTATAGTGACATAGTACAGTTTAATTTCGCATAAAATGATTAGCAACATTGTCAGTTGACACCACACGAAGGACCACATCAGGGGCTGACACCAGCTTGCACGAGGCAAGCTGCACGAGCCAAGCTGGATGTCGTTTTTGGAAAAAGCAAAGGGAATCTGTGGGCAAACGACGTTTTTTTAGCCGACGTTTCGTTTTATGAGGGTTTAATACGTTTAAGGTTTAAGGTCAAAAGGGACCTCGTAAAACTTAGCGAAAGTCACGAGAGACTTCTTTTTGAAAATTCCCTGGCGCCAGCTCGTGCCGAGCCCTGACCCATCAAACTTGGATGATCATACCCTGACCTGACTGGCTTCTAAACAACCAATTATTAACAAATGCGCAAAATGCGAGTATTTGATGGATTGTTCTATATGCAAAGGGTGGAGGATGGAAAGGCAACATAAGCAATATGCGTAATTGATGAGATGCATGATCAAGGATGACTAAGACAGACGCTCGCTTGCTGGCTCCATTATTCATTTTGCAGCTGCAGTCGTTTTATCCATAGTTCAAAACTTTTTTGCGATGGGATTTCGCATCTTGCGTCGCGGATTCGTCCTGTAGCATACAGCAGCATACATCTTTCTACCAACGGTTCTTATAAATCGATCGCCCTACGATCTCTAAAAGGAACTTTCCGCTTACGTTCAGAGTCACCTTGTTGTCGCAACTTACGCAGATAACTGATATGGGTACGCATCTCTCCCTGATGGCTCCCGTTGTTGCTGGTATCTTTATTCGAAAATCTAGAACAGTTTGCACTATGCTGACTCATTTGTAGAGAAATAGTAGCTGAATTAGCTTTGGGAGGATTCTGCGAGGTGTAGAGAGCATTTAGATTTTGCAATAATTTATGCTGTTTCTAAGAAGATCTTGAGCACAAAGAATGTTTTCCGCTCAAAACATATAATCACGAAGCATCGATTTGATGATGATGTTGGAAAGATACAGTATTCATAGCCCTGAACCAGCTACTGTTTGTAGGGCTGTAGTTGGCACAGTCTTGAAGTGATTCACTATCGCCATTCACAAAGCACTCGGATTAGCTATCGACTTGACCGCTGTCTTGGAAACATTTGCTAACGTGAGAAGGCTGACTTTACTCACAAAACATATTAGAGCCAAATAATAAGGTGGTTCTTTTTAGCAATGCAAAAAAGCATAAGTCAAACAAGTTATCACTTTTTGGTATGCAATCCCTGTCAGTTATGATCCATGTCAACGGACAGTTCTTTTCTGATCTACGAAAACTTCCGTTTTTACTTAAGTGGTGTAGTTGTTTGCTTTGCAGGAATTATCAGACTATCACTGTATTACCAGAATTATCAATTTTCAAATCCTTAAGAAACACACATTGTCGAGCTGCAAATGCAAAGCTCAAACATGCAAGAAGGCATTTTTAGGTCTTACATTTTTCGTTTGTTAAGCAATTGGACACATATATTACACGAGAATGTCAAAGAAATGATAGGAGCTGCTATGTATGATTTACAGCGAAAATTCTGGCCTCAGTGGAGTCCATCAATATGACACTCGCTTTGTGAGGGAGTTTGTACGGCTAAGTCGACATGGAAAGCCGTGACCTCTGCTTAATCGCATTCTTTGAGTATCGACTCAAAAGTAATGTAGTCAAAGGGGCAACCTTCTGCACAGTGCATGCGCTAACAAGGAAATGATACTTGATCGAAATGGATTTTCATATGAAGTGTATACTGTCTTACAAAGCATGGTACGCTGCTTTCGACACTGCCTTCGATATTTGCAAAGCGCTTCTGGGAGGGGAGCTACGAAATTTTTTTATGCAGATACTTGGACTACCGTTACGAAAAATTAATTCAGAAACATAAATGTGTGAGCTCATATACGGCCATGATTACCTTTAGGCCGCTTTATGCAAATGCCTTCAGTTTGATAATCTCACTCCAGTCATTATTCCTTTCAAAAGCTGGAAAGACCCCAGTATCCGTTTTAACCTTAGCCAAACCCTTGAATTTTTTTTCAAATTTCCATAACTCCCCAAGATCATTTACATTATGAGGCCACAATGTAAATGTGCAAGAATCAGCTAGTCTTCTGCTTTTGAAAAGCTTCTTAGGAGTCACACTCACGAGATGTGCAGACCACAGAGCTTCAGCAATTGAATACTACCGATGAGGTTCTTAATGATACTTTGTTTTGCCTTTGCTGCTCGTATTTACATGGCGTCCCGAAATGTGCCTTGGTCGTTTGCAGTAACTCTTTTTTGTTAGAGTACATTAGATATCATAATCGCTACCTTCAACTTATATTTGCAAGAAGACGGATCACAACCCTTTTTCGTTACTTTAAGTTTACACTAAAAACCTTAACTAAAAAGCGCTCTATCATTCTTACAAGCTTTGCTGATACAAGGTGTGGAAAAAATACTGTCCCTCATATTAATGGTAAATATATCAGCGATCTCCCAAGCTTTGAAATCTATTACTAAAGGAATGTGGCAGTGATTTGAAAACATCCTGCTCAGACAGTCGATCGGACCCCTTCGGCGGACAGTCGAAATCTGCCAGAGCCGCGGCAGACCCAGTTGACCAATGAGAGCGGGGGGAGGGGGCGGTCCCTTCTTGTGACGTCACAAAGAAGGCAAATCGGACCCCTCCGGCGGGCTTGCAAATCTCTCCGCCGCAAGTACGCCAGATTTGGACGAGCCGCGGCGCAGAAAATCGGAGGGGTCCGGCGCACATATATGTACGCAGTCAATTTGCTGTAATACGCAGCTTAACATTTTTGAAAATAAGTTGTCGTCGCTTTCGTCTTACTCTTTTTTTGTCGTTCTTTCGCGCTCGTTTTTCTTTTTTTTTTGGTTTTTCGTGTTCCTCGTCGGCGCGTTGGCGTTTATTTGTTCATCTCCTTCTTTTCAGGTTTCAGGTTTTAGGTTTTCGTGCGGATGCACTTAGTCAATTTTAGTGTTTGGCTCTTTTCGACTTGAGACATCGTTGACTATTGATGGAGTGGTTTTTGTGATTAATTCTGGATTTTCGAAGCAAAAAGTATATAATCCGAGTGAGTTTACTTTTTTGTTTCGCACTTGTTCATGCTTGAGCTCCACGGCGGATTGCCTGTTCAAGTGTGTATGTGCGCTCAGAGTCGGCGTCATTCAACCTAATTTGCTACGTATCTTCCAAGATTCATGGTAAACGTACAGACTTTTTAAGATAGCCCCATATCGTTTACACAAGATATCAGGGAGTATTTTACGCTTTTGAAATAGTTTTTGGTGCTATCTATGATAAACTACTCTTCTGTTGAGCTGGCTTAGTTCTTTCTCCACGTTGTTCTGAAAAGATGATCTGAAAACCTTCAGCTGAGCATCAGCCGAAGTACAAAGCGTATGTGCAATTTCATTTATGAAAGCTGATCTTTTCAGTTTGAAAGCTGCGCATATGTGCTGGTTATGGATTGCATGTCATTTGTAATGTCCTTCTTGATTCTGTCCCAAATGAGCTTGGTCAAGCTCAAGCCGAAGGGTTGCTGCCCGAGCACTTAACAAGTTACGCTGAAATCCTTTTAACTTCAAGCGCTTTTTTTTAGAGTGTAATTGTGAGTTTAGGCAGGGCATCGACAGGAAGTTCTTTGTGGACAAGTATCTTAAGGCTGGAGAAGTGAGTGCTGACATCTTTTAGGGCATCTATCTCACGTCTGTGTGGCAGTCTTTATAGGTGCGAAAGATCATCTTTTGTTCTGACTATTCAAGGGCTGTAGCTTTCCTATATGAAGGTGCAATAATCGATGGAAGAAAGGTAAACTACGTTAGTCAACTACATTAGTTACTTCCTTTCGTCTCCATCAATCTTTTCACAAATATTTCCATTTGAGACAAGGGATCCTGTGGTAGTCGTGGCCTATCCAAAAGCAACGCAGTTCTGGAGTAAAATTCGTAAGGAAGAGGAAGACATGGGTATCGCTATCGCGAACGGGGTCAAGGTGGAAATGTATAGAGGTCTGACTATTTTCAGGTAAATTTTGTGAAAGCCCTCTTTTTGTAATTCAAATGTTTGAGGGAAAAGGAGTGTTGCATAGTAAAGGCATCTAGAAACGTAATTTATGTCTGGGGATTTTAGATTAACGTGATAGGAAACGTCAGTATCTCATTTCCTAAACGGAAGACGTTTGCTTTCGCTGTTTTCTCTAGCAGTACACTCAGGGCGAGCGGGGTGGCTTTCAGTAGCATCATCATTGCTTTTCTTCACTGTTGTGATGTCTGTCTATGTTACATCGTGTACCTTATTTCTCAACCGAGACCTATTCTGTGCGAGTTTCCTCATTGTTTCGCGCTTTCTTTATTGTGTTTTCGTGTTTTTCCAAGCAATCTAACTCACTACACTTACTTCGCTTATGTTTTCGCTAAAAGTACGGCCATAGGTTGCCGGCAACTGTTGTCGGTATTGTCCGTTTTGTAGCTGCTAAGTTTTGTTTTGCAATTTGCAGGAGATTGTTTGCAGTTAATTTGAAATAAATGTCTTGTCTCTTCATTCTTCTATTTTTTATCTACAAACGCTAGGGGTGAGAGGGAGGGGGTAGAGTACGGGGGTGAGGGTCGCGCTGAAGTCAGTATCGTTCATTCTACGATCAAGAGACGGAAAACCGCATTGCACACATTGTCAAAACAAGCTTAATCATGTATTGAGCAGATTTAAACTTGTTATTTATCTCTCCAGGATTATTCACTTTTTGAAAACAGGAAAAAATCAAACTCAAAATTGTTTAGACAATGTCGCAATGCAATTTCGCGTCTCCTAGTCACAGAATAAATGATAGTACATCTGCTGGTGTAGTGGTTAGGTCCAAAATCGTGCTCAAACGCTGCGCGCATTGTCGATGATTCTGCTCGCCGTTATCACTCGTTTAAATGTATAGAAGAAGACATCTTAATCAAACTTACCATAGCCTAATCCCTAAAGTCCTGCCTAACATGTAGGGTTAGAAAACTATAATTTTCTTTCTATATGTGAGATTTTTTAGGAGGCAAACTAGATGTAGTACTTTTCCTGCACCTTATTTGTATGAGCTTTCCGCAACAGTTCTCACCTTGAAAGTAAAGACAAATATGCCGTGATGGCGATTTTTCAATTTTTGTCAAAATTTTGTGCGCTGTATTAGGTTGTTCCAATTGCCGATTTTTCCAAACGACAATGCAACCACTCAGACAGTCGACGGCATACCTCCGGAGCAGAAATGGCAGAGCCGCAGGGTTTCCCCAGCTGGGGATTGCCAGGGTCAAGCAAGGGGTGTGGCACAATCGCTGGTTACGACCCCCCCCCCCCTGATTGCTGTCTTAATGAGACCCCCCTTCCCTGAACTATACACTTAAGATAGCATTACTTGAAGGCCCTATCAAACATAATGGGCAACATATCCATAATTAGCATGTCAAGTAACCCCTGTAGACAAAGTGTGAGCGAATTCTGAAGATTCAAGATACTAGGCTACCTAAGTGAAATGGTCAAATTCCAACATGGTTAACTTTGTTTATAAGGTGAACTAGCTATCCATTTTTGCACTCAAGACAAAGCACTACTCCTTCTTTGTCCACCTCAGGAATCCCGCTTCAGAAGACCTCCAAACTGTGGAATTAGAAGCCAACCAAAATCTCGTTTTTCCCATTTTTCGCTTTTGATCGCTGTGCTTTCACCAAATATTACTCAGAGCTAAGAAGACGTATCAGGCTCCAAACAGTCCTATGGAATCTACAAGGCTTAGGCTATCGATTCAATTCAATAAGATTTCCTAAAGATGCTTTGTTGATATAGTTAATGGGGTGCGGCACACCCCCTTAAAAGCTGCGGCCGCCGCAGCTTTTGAGGGGGTGTGCCGCACCCCATTAACTATATCAAAAAAGCAAATTTAGCGGACAGTATTTATATGAATCGATAGCCTAAACCTTGTAGATTCCATAGGACTGTATGGAGCCTGATCCGTCTTCTTAGCTCTGAGTAATATTTGGTGAAAGCACAGCGATCAAAAGCGAAAAATGGGAAAGTCTGATGTCTCCGGAGCCCTCCCATTTGTGCTCCGGAGACCTCCCATTTATGCTCCGGAGCCCTCCGATTTTCTCCGCAAGTCTGCCGCGGCATACTGTAACTAGCCCTAATTGAGCTCCAAACTCCAATTATGTCTCTAAACCCCACCCAAATTAGCCGAATACGACCCCCCCCCTCCCGGGTAGGACCTCAGCGCGACCCTCACCCCCGCACTCTACCCCCTCCCTCTCACCCCTAGCGTTTGTAGATAGAAAATAGAAGAATGAAGAGGCAAGAATTTATTTTAAATTGACTGCAAACAATCTACTGCGAACTGCATAGCTACATAATGTCTTCCCATAGCTAATTTGCTGAACGCAACCAGCATTAATCCAACGGCAGCAAACCGGTACTGGAGATAAAGTGCGAAACTGGAATAATATCATCAATTGTATTTTACTATGGCATTTGTTATCCCAAAAATGTTGCCACATCGGCAAATGCATATAAACTCCCACAAAAACTAATGAAAAGACTGTATTTGGCCGCCTTCCGAAGCGATTACCAAGAAGCGGAAATAACACAATAAGTGGTGCATTGAAAGTAGAACAACAATGGTAATTTGATCTGCGCCTATGGATGGCATCAATATAGCTAGAGCAGAGCTGAGGAGACGTCCCACCATCATTGGAAAGCTGAAGTAGTCCAGTTGAGTACCAGTACGTGGGCTGACGCATATCTGTAAGAGTAGCATTCCCGAAAAGTTGAGGCATTGCATACCAAATGCAAAAGGAAGTTCAGAACCAACATCTCGAGCTACTAAAGCACTTCTTCAGATCGTCTTCCTAATGAAGCAAAACACATGGACAACTTACTGATAATAGAATGCAAAGATGCTTTTTCCTTAATTTCACGCCTTTTCTAAGGATGAGTGGTAGGTGAAGAAACACTCATTTTAGTTTTGACGTTAACGCACCTCAATGTAGAGAAAAACCATCAAAGCAAATGTTTCCATGCTCCTTGATAGGAAAACGAGTCCAACAGATAAACTCGCCAACTTCATCATGAGTAGCACACTTCCTAGCACAGAAAAAAATAAAACTACACAGCATCCATCGAGAGAGTAAGCAATAGGGCCCCTGAATGACAATATTTTGAAAAAACCTCACGCTTTTTCAAAAATATAGATAATAAAATTCATAACCTACAGTATCATTACAGTAATTCTCGCAGAGCAACCACAAGATAGTGCCTCAAAAGAAGATTACCATTCTGCTGCGCAGTGAACATTGCGGCACTTAATTCAACGAGGCCAGTAAGAATTTGCATAAGGAAAAATAAGTACCGCGCTCAAAGAAAGGTTCTCATCTTCCAGAAACAAGGCAATTACTTGTAAAAGTGCAAGGCGAATTCTGCATCCAGCGGTGAGCCGGCGATGTATGGATAAAATAACTATAAAAAGAAAAACATTGCTTGTGAAAACGACAGATTTTAGCCATTTACCCTTGTAAATTTGATGTCACTACTCAAGCTGCGCGGTATGCAGCAAAACACTATCATCAGCACGTAGAAGACGACAGCAGTACGGTTGTAGCCCAGATATTTGGAGAGAAAGGACGGGTGCGATAGGGATGAGTGTGGGGACGACAAACGTAGAAAGACTGAAATATGACATCATGCCTAAAAATGCATAGGAAGTAATATTAGATAAAATGGAGAAGGTTACACAAGTTATGTCACCACAGCTGCTGTGTAAACGCGGGAAAACAGCAGTAAGTCGAAAACGAGAGCCAAGCACTAAAAGTGACTAAGTGCATCTGCACGAAAACCTAAAACCTGAAACCTGAAAAGAAGGAGATGAACAAATAAACGCCAACGCGCCGACAAGTAACGCGAAAAAAAGTCGAGAGCGACGGCAGCTTATTTTCGAAAATGCTAAGCTGCGTATCACAGCAAATTGGCTGCGTACCTATTGTGCTCCGGAGACTCCCATTTTCTGCTCCGGAGCCCTCCCGTTTGTGCTCCGGATCCCTCCTATTTGTGCTCCGGAGCCCTGCAATTTTGTGCTCCGGAGGTGTCCCAAATCTGGCGCACTCTCGGCGGGCAAATCTCTGCTCCGGGGCTCTCCCGAATCTGGCGTACCTCCGGAGCAGAGATTTGCGCGTCGCGGAGAAGGGTCCCATTCGCCTGCTTGTGACGTCACCGTGACCTACAAGAAGGGACCGCCCCCTCGCCCCGCTCTCATTGGTCAATTGGGTCCTCCGCGGCTCTGCCAGATTTCGACTGTCCGCCGCGACTACGGCACCGACTGTCTGAGCACGCGCGATTGAATTCCAAATAAGTTTCAACAAGCACAAGCAATTTTTCCTCCTCCTTCTTATTTTACATTTTCGTGCCAGAATCCTCTATATGTTATCTGATAATGCCAAACTTCTTCACCCGTCATTTCTATCCGTGTGAAGTCCGACTATGTTCTAAAAATTTGATTCCAAGCTATAGGAAAGGATCAAGTATGGCATGAATAGTATACGGTAATGTTTTTGTATTCTCCTGATCTGCTGTTTTTACCTTCAAAAAATTATTCTTTCGAAAATCTCATTTTTGATAAACTCATAAAACGCGCAACTGCAGCAAAAACATGAAAGCTCTCAAGGGTTCTGCAAGTTGAAATATGATTGTCGTCGAACATCATTAACAAAATCCTGTTTGATTTACTTTGAAGAATCAGCATTTTAAAATCTGTACTACTCCAATACCCTAAATGTAATCGAAAAGCCGCGGTTTTTCTCAGATAAATGTTTATTTCTTGCTTAGTATAGGCTTAGTAAACGTGACCCATGTAATCTAAAAAGCTTCTAATGTAACCAAAGAATTGCTCTACATAACAGCTATCAGCGCTCTTTGGAAATATTAGAATAAGATTTTTTTAGAGTTCAGGAAAGATTTGGCATCTGGATAATATTAGGTTGTCCGGAAATTAATGTCCGTTTTGAATTTCAACCGCAATAATAAGTCACAGACTTTTCATTTCTAAATAGGTTGCAAGGTACCATTCGATAGAACAAAGCAAGCTCTACAAGATGGCTACCTTGCTTTTGCAACAGCTCTCATTAACCTTGGGTTTCGAGCCAAAAACTAAAATGATTCAGTTGCGCGAAAAATTGAGAAAAATCGTAACTCAGTTCATAAAAGCCCCACAAAAATTCTAACTTGCTCACTTAAACACTATCCACATAAGACATATATATAGGTCGTTGCCGTCTTTTTTTACCTTTTAGAAAACAAGAAAACGAAAATTTTCGTGCATTTTCCAAAGTGATGCTGTGCAGTCCCCACATGCATAGTTATGTACTACAAACTTGTAGAATTACAAACTTGAATTTTCAGCTCTTTGCAAGCTTTAATTCTCGAAAAATTTGAATTTTGTCTGGATCAACTGACTAGGGAAAGCCATGTTCGATATTTCTCGAGAACCAAAGCTTGTAGAAAGCTGAAAATTCACGTTTATACTCCTACAGGTTTGTAGTATACAACTATGCATTTTTGAGACTGCACAGCATCACTTTGGAAAATGCACGAAAATTTCCGTTTTCTTAATTTTTGAAAGGTAAAAAAAGACGGCAACGGCGTATATAGATATCTTATGTGGATAGTGTTTACGTGAGCAAGTTAGAATTTCTGTAGGGCTTTTATGAACTGAGTTACGATTTTTCTTAATTCTTCGCGCAACTGAATCATTTTAGTTTTTGGCTCGAAACCCAAGGTTAATAAGAGCTGTTGCAAAAGCAAGGTAGCCTAAGAGCTGTTGCAAAAGCAAGGTAGCCATCTTGTAGAGCTTGCTTTGCTCTATCGAATGGTACCTTTCAGCCTATTCAGAAATGAGAAGTGTTGACTTATTGCGGTTGAAATTCAAAACGGACATTAATTTCCGGACAACCTAATAATTTCCATTTGCTCTTCGTTTAGGCTCTGACGAAAGCGGAAAGTCGAAACGTAAGCCCATGAAAGGACTCTAACATCTTGGCTGTATAAAGCTCAGCAACTGCATATATTTTTGACGACGTTTGCCGTATGGAGCCATACCTTGTCATGCAGAGAACTCACTGAACCTGTCTTTTAAGGCATTTCCGCGATGGGAATTCTTTAGACTGTGCAGTGAGGTTGCATACGTACGATCGACTATTCTTTCTTGCCCCGCACTTTTCATTATAGGACGTCCTACCCGTCCCAAGAGAAGTATTGTTTAAGTACATCTTCAACCCTCGCTTTTAAAGCAAACCAATTTTGCGTCTCATATTGATGTGCAAACGCCAATTTTCATGCTCGGAGATAATCGCGAAATCCTTTTTTGTGAGGAAAAAGCAGTGTCAAAAACAGTTTTTTTTGTCTCTTGAGAATCAAACCTTTGGAAGCTGAGAAATTTAAGTGCATTAGCTTTTCATCGAAATCAATACGTTCGTTATGAAGAGCATGATTAGTTCTTTTCAAGATTTATGCATCGCCGCAAATTAACCGCATCTCAAAGAAATGAGAACGAGAGAAAACGCTGGACTTGGACTGAACTTACAAGGCAGCCTCATCTTATATATAAAGCTGGAAGTCTTTTTTCTGTACGTATGCTGTATGTGTGCATGTACGTATGTTCCGAATAGAAATTCTTATTTCTGAACTGATCCGGAAGAAACTTTGCGCACATACACTTTGGGGTGGGGAAGGGGGGTGTCATAGGCTACTTTTCGTCATCGATCGATATCGATTTTATCGATTTTTATCTGTAAAGCTTAGCCTGCGGGTTGGGAGTTGGCACAGGAGGGTAATCGAGCATGCTGATTACGAAAACAATATTGGTTTTTGAATTTATCCGTTACTTTTGTCGATTTTATCAATTTTTTCCAAAGCTTGAGCTACGGGACTGGAAGTGGGCACGGAGGGGGAGGGTAAGTGAGCAGCTGGTTACTAACACAGTGGGAACAGGGAATTGGATGTAGAAGTGGGCCCAGGGTAAGCTTGTGCAGGGATAGGGATGGGAGCTTTATCAGTGTTTTGTCATGGCCGGGCGGGGCCGGGTAAGCCAACTAGTATTAGGTTGTTGCATAAGTTCTGTCTGATTTTTTTGCCTCATGTTTAAAGCAGCTGTTCTAAGAGAATTTCATCTCTAATGCGGTATTGTTAGTACCATTAAAAAGTGTTTTTTTGCGCTTTCTAATGCATATCAATTTTCAATAAATTTCTTAGTGTAAGGAAATTTCAGGCCTAGAATCTCCAAGTGGCCGAGGTACGTTCTCACCCTAGAAATATGTTCTTGCGAGGAAATCTCCACAATGCGCCCCTCAAGTCAAGTTTTTTCACTGGTTTCGGAATAAGGGTATGGAACGTTAGTATATGCAGAAACTCAGTTCCATGAAGAAAGCGTCTTGTTAGTAAAAATTATTGTCGAACATTAATCTTTTGTATAGATGCTTTACAAGCAATAACTTTCTGTGAATAGAAGTAATCGATGAGTTCAAAGTTGGAGGTGCTAGGGCAAAGAAAGAGCTAGCAGGGCCCATCCACCAATTCCTTTTCGGCGCCCACGTCAACTGTAAAATTTTCATAACTCGTGAATAGGCATGCACACATGCGTTGAAGCGAGGTCAAAAAGTGGCTAATTTTTTGTTCGGTCAAAAATATCTCTCGGCAACGCAGACCCTATGGGCTATTTCATGTTGCAAAATAATCTACGAAAATTTCTCTATCTGACCATTGTTAGATAAGATGTCTACTAATTCTCGTAAGGGAGCATTGCCATGTCAAAAAAGACAAGTTTGAAGGAAACGTAGTGAAGTTTTTGAGTTTTTGCTTCTTCCTTAACAAGGATTTTCGCAGGTTTCAATATGTATCTGATAGCCAAGGAATTTCTCAACACAAGGAAACTAAGATCTTGGAAAACTTTGAAAGAAGTTATAACATTTTGAACTCAAAAAATTCAAATCGGACAGATCTTATGCAACACCTAATATTTACTAAAACCAGCAATAAATTTCAGAAGTTTTGAGTATGTGAAATGACATTATGCAGCAGGTCCAT